TGCATCACGAGCGCATGAGACTTCTGCCTGTGTTGCCTGCTGTACCCTTCCTACCTGTGAGGCAGTGGCTTCTTTCTCCTCGTGGGAAGTTAGGAAAGTGGCTTTCAAGGGCTGCTCAGCGAGCCAACAGCAGCTCCAGGCAAACTGTGTGTCAGGCTGACCCAGAACCTGGGCTGCTCCCTATTCTCTCATTCTGTCGCTGCAGCTTGGCTGATGTAAGACTTTGTTCATCTTCTCTCGGTTGGATTCTGGCCTCGATCTCTCCTCACCATTTGTGGTCAGAGGCAGTGCAATGGCAGACAGGACACTTCCTGGGCAGGACATGTGTCCAAAGAACATCCCTCCAGCAAATGTCAAAGAACAGTCAAGCCCAGAGTCAAGGATAGAGGAGAAATCCATCAGGGCTCAAGAAGGGGCAAGGCTTGAAGGGCGCTGGCTCCATGTGGCTGCAGGACTGAAGACCATTGCAGGGATGGGGACACAGAAGCCGCCCAGACCTGGGACACAGTTGGTGAGAGTTGGTTTCTTAGCTTGGGTTTCCTGAGACAAGGATTTGAGTGCATGTGACTTTTCAGGAATTCCTGGTAGAAGAAGTGGGAGGAAACAGGGGTGGAGAGTGGAGGGCTGAAAGGAGAGGAAGCCACCAAAGTGTATGCTATCAAGAATGTGTGCTGGTTGGGCTCGGAGGCTCAGCCTGTAATACCAGCACTTTAGGGAGGCCAAGGCGAGTGGATAGACTGAGCCTGCAAGTTCAAGACCAGCCTGGACAACTTGGTGAGACCTCATCCCTACAATAAATAAAAAATTAGCTGGGTGTGGTAGTGTGCACCTGTAGTTCTGGCTACTTGAAAGGTTGGGCTACTTGGAAGTCTGCGGTGGAAGGATTGTTGGAGCCCAGCAAGTCGATGCTGGGGTAGCCGTAAGTGGCCACTGCACTCCAGCCTGAGCAACAGAGTGAGACTCGAACTAAAAAAAAAAAGAGTGTATGCTGTTGATACCATGTGCATTAGCAATAAAATGTGCGCTCAATACCATGTGTGCTACCAATACAGTGTGCACTAGCAATACAGTGTGAGTTATTAATACATGTGCACTACCAATAGTGTGAGTTAACAATTAAATGTACACTACTAATGAAGTATCAGCTAAATGAGTTAAATGTGTACTACATACATGTGCTACCAATGAAGTGTGCACTACATCAAGTGAGTACCATCAGTAAATTATGAGTTATTAAGTGTGCACTATTAGTAAGAGGTGCATTACCAATAAAGTGTGTGAGTTAATTAAGTGTGCACTATCAATAATGTGCATGATCAAAGTATGTTATCAATTAAGTATGTGCTACCAATAAAGCATGCTATCAATTTAGTGTGCACTATCAGTAAAGTATGTTTTCCATAAAGTGTGCATAATCAATAAAGTGCAAGTTATCAATTAGGTGTGCATTGTCAATAAAATGTACACCATTAATAATAAAATGTGCACTATCAGTCAAGTGTGCTGTCATAAAGTCTGCATGATTAATAAAGTGTGTTATCAATGAAGTCTGTGCTACCAATAAAGTGTGAGTGATCAGTTAAGTCTGTGCTACCAATAAAGTGAATTATTAAGTGTGCACTGTCTGTCAAGTGTGTTATCCATAAAGTGGGCACTGACCATAAAGTGTGTGCTCTCAAGCCAGACACCAATGTGAGAAATGAAGCTTAATCCCTCAGGGAAATGCTGGGAGCTGGTACCAAAGCCCTTCTCCCCGGTGTCCCAGCAGGGGTATCTGTGGATGATGGCTAACTCCCTGAACACCCAGACTTCTGCAGTCTTCTGGGCTCTGTGAACAGTCTTTGAGCGCAGAGGGTAGATCCCGGCCGTGGGAGGTTGTTCAGAGTCCGGAACAAACCAAGGGACACAACAGGGCTCTGGCTGCACCTGGTAGACTCAGAGCTGGCTTGTGTATGGGGGGGGCAGCTGGGAGCTCCCCATGGTGGGCGGATGAGGCGCCTCTGGGGCCTCTCAGGGTCAGCCTTGTGGGGTTGCCCATCTGGAAGAGCCACTCTGGATCCTGGGAGCCCAGCTCTGGTGGGGGCTCTGGCCCCCCCCCGTTCTCCAGTTCTGTGCCTGCCATGATCCCAGACATGGGGCTACTGGGCACCTTCTGCACCCCAAGAGGCTAGGACACCAACTCTGTTCCCTGCTCTCCACACTCCAAGCTAGTGGCTGCCACCTTCCTGCAGGTGATATCACCACACAATGATGCACAATTTTTTGTGTGGTAAAAATGCATTACACACACATTTACCATCATAACCACTTTTAGGGGCACAGTTCTGTGGCATCAAGTCCACTGACACTGTGAAACCATCACCACCACCCATCTCCAGAATGCCTCACCTTCTTTTCCCAGACTCTGCACCTGTTAAACCCTGACTCCCATCCACCCCTCCTGGCACCTGGCAACTACCACTCTATTTTCTAATTTGACTAGAGAGTGATTTTTTAAAAAGCGTCTTGGTGTCTAAAAAGACCCCTTCTACTCTCCCATTCCCCACCCCAAGCTGGCCCTTGGGCTTTAGAATCCAGGATAGTCTTTGGGCTGCCTGAAATAGAAATGCTGCAGAAGGTTGTGTATAAGGTTGTTTTTTGTTTGTTTTCTTGCTTTGGGGGTTTTTTCTTAGTCGGAGTCTCACTCTGCTGCCCAGGTTGGAGTGTAGTAGCACTCTCAGCTCACCACAGCCTTGACCTCTTGGGCTCAGGTGATCCTTCTGCCTCAGCCTCTTGGGTAGCTGGGACTACAGGTGCACACCACCACATTCAGCTAAATTGTTGCTTTTTTGTAGAGATGAGGTCTTGTTATGTTGCCCGGGCTGGTCTTGAACCTCTAGGTCAAACAATCCTCCTGCCTCCCAAAGTGCTGGTATTTAAGGCGTAAGCCACCACACCACACCTGACCAAGACTGTTCTTTATAACAACAAAAACAAAACAAAACAAAAGTCAGGAAACCTATCTGTAAATTAGTTATACAAATTGTGACACACAATAAATTGTGGTGGACCACTAGACTCACGACATGGGAAAATGTTTACATGATGCTGGCAAGCAAGCATGTTCCATGACCCCATGTCATAAGGGCACTTATTTTTTTCAGCACTCATATTCCCTTACTGGAAGCTGACCTCTACTGAATGAAGCTGCCTCAACCAAGACTAGAAGATATGCTTTAAAATGACTAGTGCTTGCCAGGTATACTGGTTCATGCCTATAACCCTAGCATTTTGGGAGGCCAAGGTAGGAAGATTATTTGAGGCCAGGAATTGGGGAGACCAGCCTGAGGAGCATAGCAGGACCCCGTCTCTACAAAAAAAGTTAAAAAATGGGCCAGGCATGGTGACACATACCTATAGTCCCAGCTACTTGGGAGGCTGAAGCAGGAAGATTGCCTGAGCCTAGGAGGTTGAGACTGCTGTGAACGATAATGGTGCTACTGCACTCTAGCCTGGATAACAGTGAGACCCAGACTCAAAAGCAAACAAACAAAAAACAGTGCTTATTTCTGGGTGGAGGAGTACAGGTAGTTTTCTCTATTTTTCAAGTTCTTGAGATGAAATACGTGTTGTTCCTCCACTGTATCCTCCAGAGTTGCCACTCTACCTCCTTGCTACTACTCGAACATGCCAGACATTCCTCTCGGGCATTTGTGTTTGTGGTTCCCTGTCTGGAGCTCTCCTCCTCTAGATACAAACTGGCCCTCCCTGCCCAACTTCAAATGCCCCCTGCAGTGAGAACTCTTCAGAGCCACACTGTTTAACCCCACCCTGTCCCAGCACACCTCTCTCCTTTCTTCCCTTATTTCTGTCCCCAGCTTCTGTTGCCACTGACATGCTGAACGTGTTCCTGCTCTACTTCTTCATTGTGTCTTCACCCTCTAGAATATGGGTATCTTGTTTGTGGCCATACCTTCAGCACCCATGGCAGCTGAGTGCTGTTACAGGGTGTTCCTAGTACACAGTAGGTGCTCTAAGATGTTCCAAGCACATAGTAGGTGCTTAACAAATGGGTGCTGAATGAATGAGTAATTATAGGGATGGGGCTATTTCCATCTCATTTGAGCTACCAGGCTTCCATTTAGGGACGGGGAGGTGGAGGGAACAGGCGTGGGATGGGAAGCAGAAAACAGCAGCAGCAGATGGAGGAGGGTGGGCAAGAAGAAGGGGATCTGGACAGTGCCCTCCAGTGACAAGCCCTTGCCCACACACTAGGTTCACTAAGACACTGAAGTCAGGTGAAGGGCTTCCATATCGATATGACCCCCAGGGCAAGAGCAGCCACGGACCAGCCCAGAAGGCCCAGAAAGCCCATGGTAGAGGGAAGCCAGCAGGGAACGACCTTCACACAAAACATCCAGGTGTGGAGAACACTCCAGAGGAGGTGACAGCCGTTCCCCATACAGATGGGCTGCAAAGAAGGCACAAAACGGCGTACCCGAAGAGAGGCCTCAACCAGGGATTGGGAGGCCACTCCAGGGCCTCCTGAGTAAGGGAGACAGCGAATGAGGAGAACGGGAAAGGTATCCAGGCACTAGAGGCGTTGGCACTGGGGCTGGGAGCGGCCGGGCGCACGTGGGAGGCTTGAGGGACTTGCCCAAGACAAGCAGCAAGTTGGTGGACCCGTCTGGATGGAGGATCAGCTGAGCCCTCCCCCGCCCCCATCGC